AGCCTTTTGGTGGCATTTCTGTCGTCGTGTTCACTGGAGACTTCTTACAGTTCCCGCCAGTTTTGCAGAAGAGCCTCCTTAGTACTACCGAACGAATTGGTATAGTGCTAGGAAATATAGGACCGGGAAGCAAAGCTATAGAGAGACGCTGGAAAGAGGCTAAAGCTAAAGAACTCTGGCAGGGGTTTACTAATGTTGTAGTACTCGACGAGCAAAAACGGGCTGAAGGGGACGCCTACCTGCTTGGTTTTCTTGAACGCCTGCGAGAGGGCAAGCAGACAAGAGAGGACGCCGCGAAGCTCGAAGCGCAATATAATAGCGAATCGAAATTCGATTTCACCAGCGGCAGGCGAGCTGTTATACCTCTAAACCGACACCGGTGGGATCTGACGTTGCATGCAGCCCTAGCATATAGCGTCGATACTGGTCGTAAGATATCGATATATCTTTCGAAGCACAAGTGGGAATCGCGGATACCTACAGCAGAGGAGAGAAAAGCAGCCATGCTATTAGGCGACGAGGGCAAGCTGAGCGCAGCTGGTATGTTCCCTTATGTCGAGGGTATGCCGGTGGTAATCAACGAGAACAAGTATATGGGTCTCAAGGTTGTCAACGGCGCAGAGTTTACAGCCGTAGGAATTCTTCATCCGCCCGGAGTAGAAGAGATCATCATAAACGACAGGCTGTCCATATTTCTCGGACCGCCTAGTGGTATTATTCTCCAGTCCGAAGAAACGAACGGGTTAGCTTTCCCCCATCTGCCACCTAATACTGTAATGTTGCCAGCAGCCAATATTCGAGTACCAGAAAAGCACATCAAAATACTCCGGCCAGATCTGCAGAAAGCCAATGTAAAACTAGCGCTAGTCCGGACAGGGCTCCCATGCACACCAGGCTTCGCATTAACCGACTTTAAGGCACAGGGGCGGACACTCGAAAAGACACTGTTAGGGCTTTATGGGAGAACAGTGGGTAAGAATACGGGGGAGCTTGAAAGATGCGATGCAGTAAGCATGTATGTTCAGCTATCCCGCGTGCGGCGCTTTGAAGATATCGCTCTCATACAGCCGTTAAACGTAAAGCAGTTCCTAGAGGCGCGCATGCCGGAGGAGCTAGTCGAAGGAACCAAAAGACTAAGGATCCTCGCGGAAGCAACAGTCCGGGCGTTCGAGGCTAGGGAGAGAGATGAAGCATAGGAGGGCGGAATAGTAAATAGGGAGGTAAAACCATTAAGATGAAAGGACAGATTAGTGGTCTTGCCTTGGCGGTTCAGGCATGTTATGAATCGGGTTAACACTGGGTTATTATCGCGTATTGCTGTCTTGTGTAGTGCTGTTGGACTTATTGCTATGACCAGAAGGAGGGCATACAATAGGCGTAAAGTTAATATGTGCTAGACCCGGAGGAATCCTCCGTACCTCGAATGTCCGCTGGAAAGACAAGACTAAGGAAACCTCCGAAACCTGCTGGCCTAATAGCTGGCACTCGTTCGTCAAGTGAGCTATCGAGGCGTGGATTGCTTCTAACCGGGATGTAAGGTCTTTGTAATGAGTAACCAGCTCAGAAGCATCCATTCTGGCCAGTGTGGATGCACGCGAGGTAATACCAGGGTTACCGAGAGTCTCCAGTTCTATCTCCCATCGATCCAAGGCAGAGAAAGAGTCAGAGAGAGTACCTGGTGGCTGTCCGATCAAGCCCAAGGATACACCCGAACGTCTAGCGAAAGAAGCATCTAAAATAGTTAATAAAAGAGCAGGACGAAAGAGGACAAAAAACCTTACATACGGTGACTACAACGGGAACCAGTATTATTCCACCAACAGTTAGCACACCCACCATTCGTAGCCCGTAAACCCTCAGCGGACTGCATTACAATACATTGCTTCCACGGACCATTTGAACGGGCACATCGGTCGCATGGAGGTCGGCGCTCAACGCCGGTAGCCTGAACCAGGGCAGCAATAATGCGATAACCATGATCGAACGACAGCGTCTTGCCCTGTTTCCGGGGAGCAAGCTCCCGGGCTATTGGAGAGCAAGATAAAACTTCTATTGTTCGGCTGGTGCGCATAGAGGTGCTCACACCAAGTCGATCCAGCAGGTCACCGCCAGCTAGAGAAAGCATTAGTGACGTAGATATGAAGATGAACAACCAGAGGGGACTTGCTATCACAAAGCACAGGGGGGTTATGGGGCATAGACATAGAGGAGAAATACGATATTATGAAACCAGCAATAGGAAGGACAAGCAATAGATATTAATCAGATAGATAGGAAATCACGGAAGGTAACGATAGGGTGGTATTAGGATGGAAAGTTCGATGGGCGAGGTTGGGCCGGGCTAGGCCAGGGGTTGAAAAGACGGGAAAATGAGAGTGGTTGGCGGGAAATAAATGGAAGAAGACCGGCAAGACATTGGGTAAACGACGGGAAGACCCGAGGACGGCGAACATGAGAGGTGATTGGCCGGAACAGGGGTTAAACGAAGCTGATTGGTCGAACGAAGAATAACGAGCGCTGATTAGTGGCAGGGTCGCTACGACCAATCAGCATCGATTTTTGCTCTAGCCAATCACAGAACAGGAGACCAGGGGGGATCAAGGCACAGGATAGTTTTTTACGCCTTCGCGGATGGAGAAGTTAACCTTCCTAACGGAAGGCATGTTCTTACGTAAGATTCTCCTTCCTATATAATATTTATACTTCTTTAGTACTATTTACTTATTAATACTTTCCCTTTCTAATAGTATATATAGGTAGTAGCGAAAGTAAGCTATCTAACGTATAGATACGCTTCTAAAGCTATAGCCTTAGAGAAACTGTTACGACCCGTTAGATACACCTAACAGGACCCACTCGGTTGGGCGGTTATGACAGGACTTTGTATGCAGGGCCACGGGAACAAAAGGTAACCTCTGGGAACGGAAGAACTATAGAACGGAACAAGTCACGTGATGAATCATTCTAGGTCAGAATGATCCAAGAAGAGTTGGGGGCCAACGGATCATGTTCGATCAATATGATCTCCAACGACTACAGACAATACGTGTAGATAGACTCCTATATAGACCAGGACTTGAGTACCTGCTCAAGCCCTCTAGATAGTTCTTCAGCAATCAACTTGTGATTCATCCTCGAATGACTTTCAGCTTACCTCTCAGTATTGTGAATACTAAGAACCTCGTTACCATAGTGTAAGACTGATCACCTTACCCTAACCCTACGATCTACCAGAACGACCTCTACGAACCAGTGTTAGTCTCTTACTGCACCTTCTGTTAGCAGAACCCTACTGTCAGATAGCTGGCCGTAACACTTTGATTGCTCCTGTTCAGTAAGTTGCCCTTTGAGACTAACGAACAGTATAAGACAAGATGTCTTCGCACGGAACTACCGAAAACCCTACTCCTGGAACCTCGTCCACGTCCGAGAGACGTATTCCCCAGAATCTGGCCCAAGAGATTCAAGACCAGGAAATGAAGGAGGAATCCGATAGCGATGACGACAATGAAGAACTTAAGCGGCAACTTGAGCGGAACAACAACGAGCTCAGGGAAATGAAAAACCTGTTCAACCAGAACGTCAAAGCCCTCAAGGAGCTACAGGAACAAGCCCGCCGCACCAAAGAACTAGAGAAGGAAGTCACAACACTTCGAGCTGCCGCGAACGTCATATCAGCTCCTGTCGAAGGAAGAGAACGCCTTAAGCTCAACACCCCTACCACCTTCGACGGAACCCCTAGACAGCTCAAAGGATACTTGGTACAGATACAGACCTACCAAGCCTTCCACATCAACACGTTCCAGAACGATACCGAACGTGTCGTCCACGCCGCCACCTTCTTGAGAGGGAAGGCCCTCGCTTGGTTCGAACCCCTCCAACAAGAATGGCTGGACACCCCTATCGAGAGATACAGTCAAGAAGTAAAGGACATCTTTTTCAGCTTCAGTGGATATGTTAAAGCCCTTCAATCTCTCTTCTTAGACCCCGATGAGAAAAGACAAGCAGAAAGAGAACTAGCGAGCCTACGACAAAACAAATCAGCTACAATGTACGCCGCAGAATTTCGACGACTCGCAGCCAGACTCGACATGACCGACGAAAGCAAAGTCTTCGCTTTCTACCAGGGTCTCAAGGACGACGTCAAGGACGAAATGGCCAAAGTGGACACGCCACCTAGCTTCCTTGATTATGTCGAATACGCTATTAAGATTGACAACCGACTGTTTAAACGACGCAAGGAAAAAGGAGAAAAACGTCAAACAGCCAACTCAGGAAAGAAATACTAATAGCAACCCCAACACAAGTTCAACAAAAACCAGAACAACAGGAACAACAATCAGCAGAGCACCGCACATAGACAACACAGCGGACCCATGGACCTGAGCGTCGCGCAAAAAGACAAACCCAGACGCAGAGAATTCAAATGCTACAACTGCGACAAGCCAGGACACATGGCCAGACACTGCACACAGCCTAAGAAACTTACGGCAACCCCTAAGCAAGCCAACGCTGCAACCAAAATCCCTAGCCACGAAGAAAAGGGATGGACAGCCTGCTATGACAATGATTGCACCACGCACAGGCATGCAAAAGAGAATAGTAGATGGTACCCTCAAAACCCAGCAGGACGATCGGGATACGACACCACCAACATACCCAAGGCCATTGCTATGATAGACCGATACACCGGTAGACCGGATTACACTAAGCAGCGACAGGAGCCACTCGACGACTGGGAACAAGCAAAGAAGGCCGCGGAACTCAACAACGCCTTCCAAGATGGTAGCATTATGCACCAACCGGGACTCTTATAGGACATCCCACGCCTCGCCAACTATCGACAGACGAATGAAGTAAACACCCCGGAAAGTTTCTCAGAAGAAGAAGCCAGGAAACTCGAAGAAGAAAACGAGACAGCCATCAAACGGATACAAGACGCCATCAACTACACGATGCAAATTCGAAACAACAGCGAAGTTAGAGACACCCTCCAACACATGCGGAAAACCCGAGACCGCCGCATCGCACTACGCGGAAACACCCGAGGACAGTATCAACTCAAGTACAAAGCAACCCAATTTGTCTACCGACCCCAAAACGATGGAAAGACGGAACGAACCCTCGCGGTAGCCAGCAAATACGCCCGCAAAGCCACCGAGCAATTGGATGAAATGCTGAGACAACAACAATTCAGGGACGCCAGCACCCAGACCCGAGTATACCAAGCAAAGGACAACCTAAGCCAACGATGGAGCTCACCATATACCACGGTAGCCAGCGACTCGACCTTTGAATTGCCACAAAGAACCCGCGCTACTCCTCAACCCATCTCGGAATGGGCTGAAGACGTCGTAGACGGACCACCCTCGGCGGAAGTACGTCCACAAGGAACGTCGATAGACGATACCGACCCGGAAGACGCAGAAGAAGAACACCATCTCGACAGAATAGAAAAAATTAAGGAAGCACTAGAATACAAATACATCGACCCCCAAGACGACTGCCAACAGATCGCATTCCATGCAGAAGAATATCATAACAAAATCCCTACAACAATCACACAAACCCGGGATGAAGAAATATTCTTGGAAGACGATCCCAGGATTACGACACAGCACAGAGAACACAAGGAGATAGCATGGATCTACTGCATCTTCGATCACTGCGCCTACCATCTCTCAAAGAAAGCAGAAAACGAACTATACCCCAAAAGAAAAGAAGAACTGCGAATCCGCAGAGCCCATGAGGAACAAGAACTCTCATATTGGGAAGTACGGGGAGAACCCGGAGAATGGAAAACCAACAACAATGGAATAGCATTCCTACGACCCAGCATCGAATACCCTCAGAAGTGTGTGAACCACTTCACGGGAGTCTGGTGGAATTGCAGGGAAGACCTATGCAAACTCTACTACATTCCAAAAAGCGAAAGTTAGAGATTCCGATAACAAGAACTAGACAAGCAAGGACAGGACGGCGAGACGCCCAGCCCACCTCGTCTAGGAATCAGAGAAAGTAACCTCGGCAGAGACCGAAAGAAGGGCGAGAAGGCCCTCTACTCAAAAAACTAGGAGAGCCGCCTTGTCCGGGACACATAGCAAGCTCCCCCAGCAAGTCCCTATATGCTACATTCGACGACGACGCACAAATGAAGATCACAGTAAACCTAGGCGGATACACCACACAGGTCCTGATAGACTCAGGAGCCCAAGGAAACTTTATCGCACCCCGAATAGTGCAACAGCGAGAAATACCATGGAATCAGAAGCAAAACCCTTACCGACTAAGGAATGTAGAAGGGAAAGAAGTCGAGTATGGCGGAGGCAGCATTGATCAGGAGACAGCGCAACTCCCTTTGCTCTACCATGGCCATCAGGAGCTTATCAGCCTCGACATCACGGAGATAGGAAACCACGACGTTATCCTTGGAATTCCATGGCTACGAAGACATAACCCACAAATCGATTGGGTTACCGGCCGAATGAAATTCAATCCAGCCTCTGAGAAGCACTCGACGAAGGCCTCATGCGGATTACTAGCAGCAACCAGAGCAAGACCACGCCTGATGCTAAGGATAAAAGACATTGGCACTAGGACGCTAGCAGCCACGACGATTGACAAAGTCACGGAAGATCCAATGTCAAAGATACCTGTTGAATACAGGGTCTACAGCAAACTCTTTGCACCAGAACTCGAGACCGGATTACCGGAACACAGCAAGTGGGATCACAAGATCGAAATTAAGGAAGGACACGAACCCACCTTTAACAAAATATACCCACTCAACCAAGAAGAAATGAAAGCCTTAGACGAATGGCTTGACGAAAATCTTGCGAAAGGATTCATCAGACCTTCGAAATCACCTGCAGGATACCCCGTACTATTCGTACCAAAGAAGAACGGGAAGAAAAGACTTTGTGTCGATTATCGACGACTCAACGATATTACGATCAAAGACTGTTACCCACTGCCCCTCATATCGGAACTAAGAGACCTACTCTACGAGGCCCAATGGTTCACAGCCTTGGACCTTAAAGGAGCCTACAACCTTATCCGAATTGCAGAAGGAGATGAGTGGAAAACAGCCTTCCGAACGAGAAGAGGACAGTTTGAAACGTTAGTCATGCCATTTGGACTCACCAACGCACCGGCTACATTCCAAACTATGATCAACCAAGTACTACGGGAATATCTGGACAAGTCTGTTGTTGTGTACCTCGACGACATCCTTATATTCTCCAAAACGTTGGAAGAACACAAGAAGCATGTCCACGAGATTCTCAAAGCACTCGAACAAGCGAAGCTACTTGTGGAACCAGAGAAGAGTCTGTTTCACAAACAGGAAGTAGAATTTTTAGGGTTCACAATCACGCCAGGCGTAATCAAGATGTCCCCTAACAAAATCAAGGCTGTGCAAGAATGGCCTACACCAGAGAACCCGAAGGACATACTATCCTTCTTAGGATTTGTCAACTTCTACCGAAAATTCCTCAAAGACTACTCCAAAACGATATTGCCTCTTACCGAACTCACTAAGAAAAATGCACCTTGGGAATGGACAGACAAACAACAGAAAGCGTTCCAAGAAGTCAAGGACAAGGTCACATCGGAACCCGTCATCCAGATTCCGAACCCTGAGAAGCCCTTCGAGCTCGAAACGGATGCTTCGGACGAAGCTGAAGGAGCGCAGCTAGGCCAAAGGGACGAGAACGGAGTCCTACACCCCTGTAGATTCTTTTCAAGGAAGTTCCAAGGACCTGAACTGAATTACCAGATCCATGATAAGGAACTTATGGCAATTATCGACGCATTCAAAGAATGGAGACCCCAACTATCAGGAACAAAGTACGAAGTAAAAGTGTACACGGATCACAAGAATCTGGCACACTTCACCACTTCGAAAGAACTCAACAAACGACAAATCAGATGGTCAGAATTCCTTTCAGAATTCAACTTTCGAATCATCTACAGGAAAGGATCGGAAAACGGCAGAGCAGACGCCCCTAGCCGAAGACCCGATTACAAGGACGAAGTCCCAGAAGAGACGCAAGTGATTCTTAAAAACGAAAACGGCGACCTCGTGCCCGCTGCAAAGCTCTTAATGATTGGCGAACGTGTCAAGACCAGCACGACTGGAAGGATGACACACGACCAAATCAGGGAAATACACAGCGCGCCCGCTCACGGTCACCAAGGAGTCACAAAAGACCTGGAAACGAATCAGGCAACATCACGACAAGCGAGTCACACGGAAAGACGTCGCTGACGCAATCAAGGATTGCGAAGTCTGCGCAAAAAGTAAGCCCAGCAGACACAAACCATACGGAGAATTGCAACCATTGCCAGCACCACCAGCACCCTGGCACTCAATCTCTCTAGACTTTATCGTCAAACTACCAAAATCGAGAGAACCACTCACTAAAATACAGTACGACAGTATACTAGTGGTTGTGGATAGATTCACGAAGTACGCGTATTTCATACCATACTTGGAATCAAGCACGGCAGAAGACTTAGCATACACCTTTCTCAGGATCATTGTCAGCCAACACGGCCTGCCCCAGGAGATAGTGTCAGACAGAGGATCAGTCTTTACGTCCAAGTTTTGGAGATCCCTGATCTCGCAGCTCGGAGCAAAGCACAGCCTCAGCACTGCCTTCCACCCGCAGTCCGACGGACAAACGGAAAGAATCAACCAGATCCTGGAAACATACCTAAGGAGTTATGTGAACTACGACCAGGATAACTGGGTCAAGTTGTTACCAACCGCACAGTTCGCATACAACAGTTCAATAGGAGAAAGCACGCGAGAATCACCTTTCTTCCTCAACTATGGATTCAACCCTACCGCTTATGGAGAACCCCGAACCGGCTCTGCCGCGATAAAAGCAGTAGCAGACATCAAGAAACTTAAGGAAATCCAACAAAAACTACCCCAAGAACTCGAATTCGTACAGCAAAGAATGAAGAAACACGCCGACCGACATAGGGTGAGAGGCCCACCCCTAAAAGAGGGAGGTAGCGCCTACCTCATACGGCGAAACATCAAAACGAAACGACCTAGCGACAAACTCGACTTCAAAAAACTAGGACCTTTCGAAATCACGAAGAAAATTTCCGAAGTCAACTACGAGTTGAAACTACCGGAAACAATGAAATGTCACCCAGTCTTTCACGTCTCATTATTAGAACCAGCACCGGACGGTACACATACCGAATACTGCATCATTGTGGAAACAGATGACACCGAATACGAAGTAGAACGCATTCTAGACTACCGGAGGAATGACGAAACAACAGAATACTTCATTAAGTGGAAAAACTATGGACACGAAGACGATTCGTGGGAACCAGCTAAGAACCTGGAACACGCTCAGGAAGAACTCCAACAATACTGGCACCAGAGGACGTCTCTGGACCCCAGTCGTCCAAACCGACGCCAGACCAATCCACGACGCCAATAGCACCCAGGGAATGAAGTGCACCCACAGTTTCCGAGCTAGCACTCTGCAAACCAAGAACCTCGGAACGATACTCATTCTCAACCTCCTCCACACGCCGCAAACCAGATCGAATGAGATCAGTCGCCTCACGATTGATGTCCTTGCGACGCCTTCGTAAACGACGAATCTTCGCCATAAGAGCTAACTGCTCTTCTTCAGCTTTCTCAAGCTCATCATCAATTTTTATTTTCTGTTGCCGAACCCGAATGAGGGAAGCCGCGGAAGGACCGTGAATGTCGCAAGAATGCTTATCGGCAACGCAACGCGAACAACGAGAAGAATTAACTTCGGAAACGACGCAGTCGACACCGGCAGCCGCGCAACCGGAACAAGGGACAGGCATGATGAACCCGAACAAATCGACAAGCTGGCTAAGTTCCTTATAAGCCACAGGGTTCTTTGATTTGGATTTTTGAACGCGACCTGACATGATGTCAGCATCATGAATAAACAAGGAAGCACGATTGACGACTCCCCAACCTGGGAAGCCACGACCTACTTATGTTGGCCTTGAGGACAAGACCATCGAGGGGAGACCTGATGTTACGACCCGTTAGATACACCTAACAGGACCCACTCGGTTGGGCGGTTATGACAGGACTTTGTATGCAGGGCCACGGGAACAAAAGGTAACCTCTGGGAACGGAAGAACTATAGAACGGAACAAGTCACGTGATGAATCATTCTAGGTCAGAATGATCCAAGAAGAGTTGGGGGCCAACGGATCATGTTCGATCAATATGATCTCCAACGACTACAGACAATACGTGTAGATAGACTCCTATATAGACCAGGACTTGAGTACCTGCTCAAGCCCTCTAGATAGTTCTTCAGCAATCAACTTGTGATTCATCCTCGAATGACTTTCAGCTTACCTCTCAGTATTGTGAATACTAAGAACCTCGTTACCATAGTGTAAGACTGATCACCTTACCCTAACCCTACGATCTACCAGAACGACCTCTACGAACCAGTGTTAGTCTCTTACTGCACCTTCTGTTAGCAGAACCCTACTGTCAGATAGCTGGCCGTAACAGAAACGCTTATAATCGAGGTACGACTATAAGTCTATCCCGTATTATTATAATACCCTTATTTTTTACTTTAAGATATCTTAAAACGACTTTAAGACTATCTTTACGCTTCTTCCTTACTTAAAAGGTAAATCTAACTAGAATATATAGCATATGCTTATTATAGCGACCTTGCAAGGATACGACTTCGAGATATTCCTCGAGACTAACGTCCCTCGCCTTGCTAACCCTATCGCTATAGAGGAATAGAGAAAAAACCGTAACGTTACGTATAGTCTCCTTATAAACGCTAGCGAATCGGTTCTTAATAGACTCTATATAGCGGGTTAGATCGACGATAGAAACCTATACTAGTTATAGCAGGCGCTCGAGAAGTATATTCCGAGAATCTTATAAGAC